GACGGCAGACGCACGTGGTGTCAAAGAGCTAAAAGCTAGGATTACCCTCCGGGGAGTTCAAGAAGCTCCTCCGCGTGCTAATGTGTAAACAAGTCATCAGAGCAGTGTCAGAGGCCTTTCAGAGCCCGTTCTCATCCCATTCCCTACGGTACGGGCCGCTGGCATTCAGAGAGACGGCCCGTCTTTTTAAGGGCTGCTCCCATGGGTCTTAAAACACATGAACACAAGCAATCGCTGCTCAGCTCATCAGCCCACGCAATCAGGAACTGTGGGGGAGGATTCAGGACAGATTCTGTCAGTTTGTGGGACTCTTTTAGCTTTTTGTCCCTGTCTGAGGCTCATGTCTCCTGCAGCTGAGCCCCTGCATTGCCCAAAGGGAAAGAGGGGGATGGCGGAGGCCAGGAGGGGACAAGAAGTGCTAAAAGGCTGAGTGACAATGAGAAAGAAACAGAGAGAGAGAGAGAGAGAGAGAGAGATGTCAATCACTGCACTGTGACTAGCTCAAACCACTTGCTTTACAAATGCAGTGAAAAACATGAAAATAGACGAATTATTATAGTCAAAAAGATTATTACAATGTAAAATGATTTTTCTGCTGTCATTTATGTTTAAATATGTCATTTCTAAGATACATACAGCTATGAAAAAATGACCACTAGAGAAGTCTCTCTTTGAGTAAAATGTTATTATTTGTGCTATTGTCTGGGGCTGATACAATTTCTTTTAAAGCATGTTTCTTCACAAAATGACAGTTGCTCAGAATTTCAAACGTTATTCCAGCAAATACAGCTTTTTAAAACCATCTGAAGTTAAAACATTGGTATCGTGTTGTCTAAAATGAATGCAAAGATATCTCAAAACATGGCATTGTTTTTGTTATTTTGTTATAATTACAATAACTGGAAAGGCATTGTAGTGTATAAGACCAGTCAAGTGAAAAACACAATGGAATGAAACCAACCAAGGCTATTTTCATGGCAGGAACATTTCAATAATAAATATACAGTTAAAAATCAACAAACAAATGAATACATGCATTAAATAAGATTTATATTGTTAATATATGATAAGAATTCTGAAAAATTTTCTGGTGTCACTTTGCTAAAAATGTCCTTAAGAAAGTTCATTTCATAAAAAAAGTCTTCTGGAATCATTAAAAGCAGGACAGTCCAGTAAAATGGTTTTATAGTCAGCGGAATTGGATAAATGCAATGGTGTGAGTTCAATTATATGCATGTGCTGCTTACAGGCATCTGATATGAATAAATAAAATACAAGAACATCTCTACAATTTCTCATTTCCTCTGAGAAGGATATGTTTAGTTTAAAGCATCAATGAAAGTGCTGACTTTTTGTTTATAATGCACCTGAACGAGTTTAACATGGCGACAGACCCACACGGAATCTGCACGCACAGAATTCCGCAGATTTTTAGCCCATCATTAATTCTGTTTATTTACTTTAGTAAATGTGTGTAAATCAATTTTAATTCAGTTTTTAAACTAATTACAGTTATATTATTGACTAATATGAAAATGTTCATCTGATTTATGTACAATGCAATTTGTATAGTAATATTTTCTGTCTTTTAGTAGATCTATTACATGAGAGACTTGCTTTGTTTACCAAATAAAGTGAATCTAATTGAATTTGCATTGTAAACATTAAATAAAAGTTAAAAAGATATTATTTTTTATTTCATATATTAATGTTTTAGTTATGATACTCCCAAAATAAATCCGCAGAAATCTGCAGATTTTTAACAAAATTCTCAGCAGAAATAGCAAAAAACGTCCGCAGATTCCGTCTGGCCCTACTTATGATTCACACAGACACACACAGAGCAGATGTCAGTAGACTGAGCTGTCCATGGTGCTGAGAGAATACATCTCTGATAGCAGCTCAGACAAGCTCACATTACATTAGTCCTGACCGAGGAAATCTGAGGTTTTCCAAACACTTTTGGCGAGACTGCCCTGATGTGTTCTGAAATAATGTCGAGTTTCTTTCAGCACTTCCCAGAGTTCTTAAGATCTTTCAGGTGACCCTGTACTTACAGCTTTTAAAGTACCAAAAAAGCCCTGAAATAAGTCATACCTGTTCACTCAAAAAAATTACATTTACTCAACATTTACTCACTCTCAAATAGTTTCAAACCTGTATAAGTTTCTTCATTCTGCAGAACCAAAAATGTGATATTTTTTAAGAACACTGGTAACCATGCATGCCAACATTTGTCTCAGAAATTCGGGACATCAGGGGGCCGGGGGGTTGGGGGGGGTTAGTGGAATGTGTTTGACTGAGCAACACAGTTGAGAACCGGTGAGTTAGTAACTGTACTGTGGTATCAGTAACTGTACTATGGACTGAGTTTCGGGCGGCCGTTGCGATTGGATACATGCCAAAGTTGGTGACCCTGGGGTGTTACAGACTGTAACAAAAAGCTGAAGACTGGGGGTGGGGTGAAATTACAAGAGTTTTCCAGGAGAAAAAACAAAATGCAAGGGTGGCAGGAGATGGGTCTGAAATACAGGAGAGGAGACTCCCGAAAAAAAGCCATTGACATTCCTTCATAGTAAGAAAAAACATGGAAGTAAATGGCAACCAGTTACCATGATATTAAAAAAAGTCAACTGAAATGGGTTCAAAACAGGTGTAGAATAAGTAAATGATGATTTTAATTCGTTATTAGGGTGAACTATCAGACGCATTAAGCCAAATGTCACTGTTGAGAGGATAAAGCACAGATAAGTTGCATTAGTGTAGAAAGTTAAACAATTCATATATTGTAATCAGTGATAGGAATAACGGTGCTGTAAATAAACAACAATGCAAAGCAAATCCAGCAAGTTCAAAGGAAGCATTTGCAAACACATTTCCAAACAAATACACATACTACTTATCCCTCATTGAGGTGAAAGGCAAGAACGTTTAATTAATATTTATAATGATATGTTGAACTTGTTAGGCCACCATCTCCATGCCAGATAAATATGATCCAGCCCCGGATGCCAGATCTTGTCAGAAAAAGCCTGTTTCTCCAAGTTTATAAACAACAAGTCAGCAAAGTTTCCAATAGCTAAACCTGTTAACCAGTATTCAACTAAATTAACAGTCTCCTATCAATATAGGAGTAGACTGAGAAAACCAGAGAGGAGCAGAAGCAGGAGATGAAGAAATGATGATAAAGAAAGGCAGAGTTTATTAAATAATCTTTGTTGCGTATGATTCAATGCTCCAGGATAAATCCAACAAGTGTTATTATACCACAAGCAATAGCAATGGAAAATTGCTGCTTCGTAACATTGTCCAGAGACAATACAGACCTTGAAATAGAGTCATTCTCTTATCTTTTACTTATAAAAACAAGTTTCTCTTGAATACGCAATCATAAAATTCTAACAATATGGAAAAAGGGAAATAATAATGAAGCAATAATTATATTACAATTGTAAGAATATAAGATTAAAAAACAACAAAATGACAAATAATCAATAATAATAATAATTAAATCATTAACTACTGATCAATAAAATGACATAATGATGATTATATAAACGACTAATGGTCATATGATTAAATAAAATATTTAAATGAAGAATAAATGAACAAAACCAAAAGAAAATAAAAACACAACACAATGAATAGTTGTTTACTTGAAACAACACACAAATAAGTTTGCTACAAGGATTCCCTAGTTAGATTCTTCAAACATGATGGTTGTCTCTCACATTGTCCAACAATAACATTAATATAGTGTAGATTAGTGGACAATGTCTTATATTTATTTTATAGTTATTTTTATAGATTATTTAATAATTTATAGTTTGACAAATTTTTTTTTTTTAAAAGATTTATTTTTGGCCTTTTTTGCCTTTATCAGATAGGACAGTATTTAGACAGGAAGCAAAGTTGAAGAGAGAGAGGGGGTAGCGTAGGGAAATGTCCTCGAGCCGGGATTCAAATACGGGACGCCTTGACATGCTACTGCACCATATGTCGATGCGCTAACCACTAGGCTATTGCACCGATGACAAATAGATTTTTAAAGTAACGCAATAAATACTTAGTTATTACTAACTCAGTTACTATTTGTAAAAAGTAACTGTAACAAATTACTCTTTTAATTGAACGGGGCCAACACTGATTGTAATGTATGTAAATTCCTTCAGAGAAGTTAACACGTCTCAGTGGGGGAAAAAAATTAATTGCAAACATTTTTATATAAAAATAAAAAGTGTGTTTGTATATTCCTATAAAAACTGCATCAGAAATGTATCCATTCTTAACATTAAAAGCTTGTCTCAGCCTTTAATTAACCTTCAACTGACTCCCTCAACAAAGTTCACTTTGGAAAAAGTTCCAGTTTCTGATGACATTGTATTATCCCTATTATACCACATTATGTGAGAAGCCTTAAAGAAGTGCTTAGATTACCAAGAACACTGTAATATATACACACTTTTTTTCCAACAAGTTGAAATGGAAACATTTCAAAGAGTCTAATATCACAATGCTTAAACTCTTCTTTTTTTCAAGCCTAAAGCAAATAATAGTCATGTGCCCTTCACAAACACACAGAGACCATCCTTGCATTAATTCAGAATAAATGTGTGCAGCTGCTTTTTTTTCCGCTCTTTTTTTTATCCTTCCTTGACTGAATTCACAACAGAGGAGTCAGAGGCTACACACAATACTTACATAATTCAAATCAATAGCTTGACAGTCACTAATAAAGTTACTGCACGGAGCAGATTTAGTGGAGTATGATACAGGGCCGATTAAGTTTTCAAACAAAAAGCAGAAAACAGAAAAAGGTCAAGGTTTTACCCAAACCCCTACAAAGAGTCCCAACAAAAGCCTTCCTACCATCAAATAAACCCATTCACTTACTCTGTCCACAGAATAATTGGCATTTCATGTTCTAATCCTCTCGAAGGTTGATTTGGACTTTGGGGAGGGGGTGGGGGGGGATGTAAAAGCTAGAAAGAGAGACTCACCATCAGGTTGTTTGGAGCTGGTCTTTCTTTGGGCAGCTTCCTCATACTGTGAGAACAAAAGCAGAAGAGGCCATTAGAAATGTGATTCTGCATGAAGAAAATAATCCTCCACTGATGTTCCACTCCAATGTTTAATTCAAAAGGATGAAAGCACAAAAAAGCATGTCAAAACTCTTTGAGATTAAACAGCGATAAAAATGAGAGAGCCAAACCTTGACTTCCCAGCGTCGCTCGTCAAAATAGAATTGTAACGATTTATTATCACCCGTTTGATGACTCCTTATTGAGATGGCAAATGTTTTTGGGTAAAGCTTCAATGATACTTTGTTATGTATGTGACATGGTGGTATGCAAAAGATAATAATTAGTTTCTTTTTAATATGGAAAACTGTCAGCGTATTGAAAGCATGAATCTCATAGTAACAGTGAATTGGAAGGTCTTTAGGTCAATAATACAGACTTGTAAAAGATGTATGTGGCTATTTTATCATTGTTGTACCCCCTTTGGTACACTCATAATATTACATAGTTTCTTTCCTTTTCATTCCCCTTTTCTCTCATTTTTCAAATGGATAAAAAATGAAATGTTTTTAATGCTTTCAATAGGATGGTGTCAACGCATGTGATGCCAGTTCAATATACACTCTCTGGCCACTTTTAAGTACACATTGCTAGTACTGGACTGTACTGGACTATAGCACAGAAATAACAAGGAGCTGAATTCTGTCAGGTGATAGCCCGGGGGTTAGTGCATGGTTGAATAGTGCAATAGCAGTCCGGGCATTCTGAATTCGAATCCTGGTTCGTGGACCTTTCCTAACTCTTTTCCCCTCTCTCTCCCACTTCACTTCTTGTCATTCTACTGTCCTGTCAAATAAAGGCAAAATGCCGCAAGGGCAAATTTGGGCATGTCAGGAACAAACAGTAAAGACTTCACTATACTGGGGCGTTAGGATCCACACAGACCACAGGTTGAGCAGACCCTGCTGGCCTCACTAACACCACTCCGTGCACCAACGTAGCATTCTCATGTGGTCTCATATCCAGGTACTGACTGGGCACAGCCCTGCTTAGCTTCAGTGGGCGACCATGTAAGAGTTGCAGAGAGCTAGCTGTCAGCTAATATATACCTGTTAAAACAAATTTTCCGTTTCCATATGGGGGAGAGAGATAAGAGAGATAAAATAGATAAACAATAAGAAAGAAAAAAAAAAAATATATATATATATATATATATATATATATACATATAAATATTCACACGGGTACATAAATATCATATTACTGAACATTTCATTTCCATTAGAAAGAAAAAAGTTGAAAGAGAATAAGGTGCAGATAGATGATGATTAAATAGATAAAAAACTGTTAAGTTGTTAATAGGTTTTACCTCCTCATACTGTATGTTTCTGTTAATTTTCTGCTGAAAAATAATGGGAGTTTTCAGATCAGTGGTAGCTATTAGATCAGGGGGCGAGAGGAGTGGTTTTTTTTAACTCATTCTCTAATTGGCTCACATACTGTAGGTATTTCTCCATATTTGCATCATTTCTTCTGTGATCAATCTTGTGACTTGTTTAAAAATGCCATGAACATGCACTTATCCTGGCTATCTACAATGGGCTTGACATAGTGTCATGTTCTCATGCTGAATTAGCAAACGTGCAATGAACTTAGCCAGAATATGCAGATTAAACTAGGTCAAACTACACTTTTTCTGTAATCCTGTCTTTCTTAATTTTACTTTTATGCAATACTCTTGTGATAGCATCACAGATTTGGTGTGGATTTAACAGGTGCACATTCATGATGATAATCTATCAAAGCTGCTCTGCATTGAGGTCTGCTGACTGTGGCTGACATTTGAGTATGGAGAGCCAGGGCTTAACTTGTGTCTGAACACGCAGGATCCGGCACCTTATTTTACTGATCCCCCCCTCAACCGCCCTTCTTCCCATCCGCTGACCACTTTTGCTTTCTTCCGCAACTCCCCAACCCTCTTCACTGTCGTCCACTGTTGGTTGATTCATTTAGCAATGAATTAGAGTGCGAGATGAGTAACGGAAGTGACGAAGCAAGTAAACAATTCTCAAATGTTATCAAACAATATTATTTGTGTTAATAATAACAATAATAATAATAACGCTTGTTGTTTGGCATCGGCTTGGCATTTCCCAGCCTTAAGGGGGCCCAAAGTGTGTCATGAAAATAACCTCCACACCATTATTCAACAACAAGGCTGAAACACTGATCCTCCAAAGGATAATGATTGTATTATGTCACATGTTGACCTTACTATTCAAATGATGCAACAGATATTGAGACTCCACTCTTTTATTATCCAATTTGGTTTGCCTTTCTTAGCTGACAGGAGGGACATTTTATGTGGTCTTCACTTATCTAGCTCGGCTCATCTGTTTCAAACTTTACAAAAAATAAATAAATAAATAAATTTGCATACTAATGCACTATTGTACACCATTTTGTAGTATAAATAGTGTAAGTAGTGGGTTCACACTATAACTCTAATAATAATTGCACTTTAATTACTAGGATGATGCACTTATTCAACCGGTAAAATAAAGTGTGGAATGATGGACACTTCATGCACTCAACCACTGCAGCTTTCCGCTTAGTAAATAAAATGATTAGTGTTGCATTTGGGACGACACTACATTCATATACTATGCTGTTGAGTGTGTAAATGCATAAGTACACAGTGCATAAGTGCATAGTGTATAGTGTGCCATTTGGGACGCAGCTCAACAGTAAACAAGGCAAGCATAGTGAAGTTTGGTGAGTGTAATGTTCACTCAAAAACCACCTCAAGTGAGCATGAAAACATTTTGCCAATTTATGGGATTTTTAATCAAAATTTGGCGTTTCCATCATTTGTTTCTCATGCGATATGCCAAAACCCCAGGGTTACAGAAAACCCTTCTCTTTTGCTGTGCTTTTTTGTATAAAGAGCTTATCGGAGTTCATTTAATTTTTCTAACAGCTCGAACCAGATTGGTCATTCTTCTCTGACCTCTCGCATCAACGAGGCATTTTTTGCTCTTAGCCACTAATACTCAATACTCAAACCAGGCCATCTGAGATCAATAAACATGTCACATACAAAGTCTCTTAAATCGTTCCTTCCTATTATGATGCTCTGTTTTAAGTTTCAACTTCAACAGATCTTTTTGAGCCACAATTGCATCCTTAAATGTATAAAGTTTCTGGCATTGGCTGATTGACCATACATTTTCATTAGCAAGTGTAAATAATGTGGCTGCTGAGTGTAGTTTACACTAAATCTTCAAAATCTACACTGTAAGAGAAGTTCACAACACGAATCCACGTTGCAATGAAACTGCATCCATTGAGGTCAGACTGAAGTGATCAGGGATTTTGTGAAAAATAAACTTTAGTCACTTCATCTAAAAGCACATCAAATAACTTCACAGCAGGTGCCACACACGGCATGAGATTTGACAAATTCAAGGTTCCCATTCTTTCATGAAAACCACATTCAAGGACTTTTTCGAGTACCTGCCATCTCTTCAAGCACCAACCAAATCAAGAGTTAGTGTACATGGCATACATAAAGTAGTTTATAAAATTGGGTTGTTGACATAACATTGCATTTTTACTGTCATGAATGACAAAAATAAATATTAGTTATGACATCCATAAAGATGCCCTATAATAAAAATCTGGGTATACCAAGGCATAGTAGACATAATAAAAGGTCAGTATATAGAAATGGGCATACTGTGAGCCTCAGACACCACTGTTTCCTTGTTTTCACATTCAAGGCACATTCAAACTGGCCTCAAACTGGATGCAAAATGCAGGATTTACAGATTACACATTTATTCATCTCCACTCTGAAGAGGCATAAGGTATGTTTAGTTACATCTTTGGTAAATCACTCTGCTCAAACGTCATCTGTTCATGTAGAGGATTATATTAATTCCTTGCTGTGTTTTCTTTGACTATAACTTCAAAATACAACGTCATACATCTCTACCAGTCTCTTTTGGTAAGTTAAATTATAATTTAGTCTTTATCTTTTGCTAGATCTGGTGAACAAAACAGGTTAATGTTAATCTGATGGGTTTATATTTGTCCATGTTCAGCGTACATCATGCTGTGTTTGTCTGTGTGTAGGTCTGAGCTCATTAATATCCATGAAACGAGCCATATATGGTCAATCATGGACCTTCTGATTGTATGGGTTTTTATGAAATAATAAAAGAGCTTATAAGAAATTTTAGAACTTACCGAAGCCATAAACCTACTATGTAGATATCAGAGAACAATTTGACTCATTAAACTACTGCTGTGTATGGCACCTCTTAAGGTCCATATAAGGCCAAAGGTAATTTTTTACATGCATTTTTTATATTTCTTTGCTATTTGGGCTTATTGGAACCTAATTAGAACAAAATCTAAGTATCATCTTTTGATATGATGTACTTTTAGAGAAAAATTATGTCCATATATGTGGACTTGTGGTCTGAATTTACATAAAACACTTTTTCCTGACTGTTTTTTAATGCATATATACCATATAAAAAATGTTTGACTATGATAGAGTAAAAACAAAATTTTTATCCATTTTGGACAGTTAAAAATAGTGTTTGAGACATTTTATATGCTGCAAAACAGTTGCAGGATGACACTGTGTGTCTGTAACAAAATATAAAACATTCAAAGTATTTTAAATAGCCACTTAGGAGCTAAAATGTGCTGTCCACGTATGTGGCCACTAAGCCCTAGGAGGTTAAAATGCATTAATTTGTTTTCGAATGACATCTTGTTATGAAAACTAGTGTTATTAATTTTTTTACATAATAGAGCTAAATCTCAAAACTGTCCTATGGTTTGAACCAAAAGTTATAGTGAACATTAACTAATGCATTATTACTCATACCTAAAGTTGAGCTTGTCAACATTAGTTAATGCACCATGAGTTAATATGAATGAATGTTATTTAATTGAATAACATTAACTAATGTTTAAAAATATGAATAAATACCGTAATAAATGTATTACTGATGGATAATTCTTTTTAGTAAATATATTAACTAACATTAAACAATGGACCATTATATTAAAGTGTTACCATGACCCCTTATATTTTCTCAAACATCAGTCATGCAACTAATTAAATATATTTCTTTCTTCAAATAATGTTTACAAAATATGTCCTATCTGTCAACTAGCCAAATATATAACACATAGCTTGCTAATAAATGCTGTAATAAATCACATATATTTCATAATAATTGCCTTTAGCTAATGCCTGCAGATTCACCAGCTTCTCATCTGCTTCATCACTGTACTGTTGAGGTTAATATAACTGCATCTCAACGTGATAAAGGGAGAGGTAAGTAATTATCAATTCTCCTTGGCACAAATCACACCCAAGTGCAAGTAAATTAGTCAAGCTGACCCAGATAAGAAATGGGAGGGATTATAGGGACAGAGCAGCCTACAGAGGGGCCCATTTGGATCATGATGAATGACACAGGCTCTCAGAGCAAACTAATAATAGAAGAGGATGCTGGAAGAGCGGTGCCAGGCTGGGGTGGCACTAGTGAGCCAGGTGACCTGTTTGTGTAAATAAAGTGTGTTGCAGGTAAACATCAGCTGCAAAACAAATCCCAGAACATCTGGCTTCACCCACCATGCCCACAGGCCCAGAAAAAGCACCAAAGAAGTGGGAATTGGTAGGGAATTCAGGTTTCTCGGGGCAAGACCTGTGGAAGGCAATTTAGAGAGTGGATGTGTTTGAGAACGCAAGGTGAGCAGACCAGGGGCAGATGTTGGGAAAATATTTACTGTTGTGTACGGCTAGTCTCAATGCTGTACCGGCTGAACAGTTTAATCTGCATTAGGCCAATATGTTGAATGTTTTACAAATAATTTACAATACTTGTTTACAAATCGTTAATGTTTAAAAAATTATATTACTAAAAATATAGAAAAAAAGTGTATTTATTTATTTATTTATTTGACATTTATACAACCAAATGCATTTGTTTAAGCGTTTTAGCAGACTTGCAAATTATCAATACCTGTCCACAGAAGGCTTGACATAAAATTTAAATAAAACAGATACATATACACAACATTATAATTCTTTACATAAAACTGCTGTAAGGCAGAAGCAAAGATGGCATGATTAACTAAAAGCAGACTGTTTATGAAACAATGCCGTTTTGTTTTTAAGCACTTTTTAAGTGCACTAATAAAACATTTATTTTACTTTCTAATTTTGGCTAACAGGTAAATCATTCCACAATATGGTTTCCTTAGCAGAGAAAACAGATTGACCAAATCTTATGGTCTTATGCTGTGGTCACACCCGACGTGGTAGGCACGTATAAATCATGTTATTCACTCGTAAATAGACTCGTCAACATTCTGAGTTTACTCGCTTCATTTGCGCGTCAAATTCACTGAGCAACAGACACAAGTTCACGTCATGGGCAGGGCTTCTGTCTGCCCAGTGACTGTACCTTTGTTGCTAAATGGTTAACATACATTTTATTGAGAGAATAGCTGAGTTTATGTGCTGAAAAACAGTGTCGAATAATTTGGAGGTGTGTCTGAGTCCACTAGATCCTTTCAGAGGTGCACCCAGCTCTGTGAGTTCATAAACTCCTCCAGAAACTTAAGATGATGGAAGCTTTCAGCAGTGCTTCTGACTGAGCCAAGCCCAGTTAGATAAATTGTTGTCTGGTGTCATTAGGAGGATTTCTCCCCGGGACAACAACAGCAGGAACTACATCATAAACACGCCCCTACAAGAGAAAACCCCTGATTGGTTAACGTGGCCGCCTCATTTGCACGTATCGCGTAGCAGGATGTCTATTCACGGCTTTGCATTTACTTAACATGTAAAGATGATTAAATTTAATAAAACTATTAAAACTAAAATGGTAAAAACCTCACAATGATGCCATCGCATAGGCTTTAAGTCCATAATTTTAATGGCTTGTTTATATATCAAGTTATTAGGCTTCAATGTGGTTAAAGAGGCTTGTGGCCATGATGTAATGCAATATGACAAGTGAGAGAATATCATTGTTCTAAAATGAAAACAGTTTAGTCTTGGCTTGACCTTCTTACACATATTTTTAACATGACTATCAAATTTTAAATTAATATCTAGAGTTATGCCAAGATACTTAAATTCGTTAACTTCTTTTATACCTTTATTTTTAGCCAGCACCTCAAAAATATCCCTTGCAGGCCTATTTCTTTACATTTAACATTAAATGAGACAGCTCAAGCCATCTTGAAATATGTTATAAACATAAACTGTTCTATAGCCAACAGCCAATCATTCTTTCAGATTCTGGAGCGCATTCAAGTACTGAAGAAAATTATAAATGATCATTTATCTTAAATAAAACAAATACATTTATAAATATAGTATATATATGGTAAGCATACAATTTTACTCACCTGGGAAATGGAGGCAACTTGAATGGTTTGTGAGCACAATTAAGTGCACACAGCATGCCATGTCATTTGATAATTGTAGGTAATAATTCCAAAAGGCAGTTGACTGTGTAAAGCTACATAAAACAAAATGAAAATAACATGTATATGCTGAGTTCAGCAGCTAATCAGTCGGAAGTGATGTGACAGCAACCAGTGAGACCTAAGTGTTACTCAAGTGGCCATGCTCTTAAATATGCAGACTTAATATAGCTTAATAAAAACGAAACAGAGGAGTTATGAGAAAAAAAAAAAAAAACACAGTTGTCATGAAGGGTAATGTTAGCTATATGCACCAAAACCATCTTTTGTACCAAGCTGTAAACATGTTTTCATCAGCTGTACAATTGGCCAATTTAGCACTGCAGTCAGTGAACATCTGGAGTTTATGAAGCCAGCCTCCAAAGACGAGTCGATGAATTGCAGTTACAGTCACTTCCGTATTGGCTTCACAAGGGAAAGCAGGTTGTAAAGCCTGATTTAAGGCATATATTTTTCTATTACAGTATTAACTCTAAATATAAGTTGTAAATAAACCCCCACACACATATAAATAAATATTGATCATTAGTACATTAAATGATAAATCTACACAGAAAATAGGCATTTTAAATGAAAATAATATTTCACAGAATTCGTTTTTATTTTTGACTGCCAAAAACTGAGCCTGGGTGGACAGAATAGACTTGGTATTATCAGTGAACGTCAGTAATAATTTTTCTTTGATTTCATAATATTCACAACATGTACCATGATTAGCTTCTACTTATCATTAGTTTTTGCTTACCAATGCAAATTCATCACGACATGAGGGTTATTTATGTATGACAGGCACAAAAGGAAGAAACAGGTGTTCGTTATTAGAAACACTCACCATTGTGTAATGAAGTGGACAAATTTCTCACTGAACTGACCAACTGGAAGTACAGGGGGATCCTAAAAAAACAGACATGCATACACATGATCACAAACATACCCACAAGACAGAATGAGCATATCAGGATATGTGTTTCCAAAAATGAATTTAACTTGTGGGTTCGGCTGGCCTTGACTAGGTTGCAGAAGGGTTACGATCCATAATGAGGTATGTTCTATGTGTGGACATTCAAAAGCAGCTGCGTATATTACATTTTGGAAACACCTGAACCTCTCTATTGTTGGACAGGTGAAGATTTCTGACGCACAGGAGATGGGACAAACATGCAGACAGACAAAAAGCTCACACTTGCAGTGAGAAAGATAAACATTAGATATGCAGAAAGCATACAGTTAATAAGAACATTTAGTTACCGCAACCTCAATATCATCTTGATATGGTGAACAAATTGCATCAGGCTAAAGAACAGACTCAATGAAAACAATTAAATTAAAGCCAAATTTCCGATCTTGTTTTTTTTGTGTGTGTGTGAATAAGACGAATATTATTTCAAGATATATTCAGTGTAACATAAACTTTATCAGGAAACTAAGATACTATTCGATCTAAGACTAGAGAAGAAAAATAAGGCATGTTTCAGAGGAATTTGTTTTTTTTGTGTTCCCACCATAATCATAATTTGAATTAGTCTGACCTCAGGGGAAATTGATGACATGAGCACGTTACGCAGACACAAAAGCATTGGTGTTAAAGACAGACTTGAGATTCAAGGTGTTTAGGAAGGCCGGATGTATTGGAAAGGAATGTGAATAGATTCTTTTAAGAAATGCCTGTTTGTGAGAGGACAAAGAGATGAAGAAACTGCTTTAACAGCCAGCTGGACTTAAATTAAACCTTTATTGGACAATACAAGCAATCACGCTGTCGTTTGCAAAACACACACATAGACACAGATGGCAGGAGATGATGGAAAGGAGTGATCTGATGTTTTGGGGGAAATTATTGATGGCTAGTAATTTAATATGTGATCCAATTTTAAAGTTGAATCAAAATTCCATGGAGTGGATGTACATTTTTAAATACAGAGTTCATAAACATCTAATGCCTTTGGAAAAAAATAAATAAGCCTGTCAACTTGATGATTTTAATGTGATTTAGGCTACGTTCACACTGCAAGGCTTTGTGCTAAAATCAATTTTTTTTTCTCAGATCTGATTTTTTGCGTCACTGTTCACAATGTTGTAACAAATGTGGCCAAAATCAGATTTCCAGTGTGAACAAATCATAGTCCTAAACTGACCCTACTCACAGCACAAAATGTCTAATTATGCACACAATGTGTGTACTATTAGAAGTGAATAAAGCCCAGTGTCAGATTATGTTTAACAGGATTATTGACTTTTTTTACAGACAACCACTTTGTTTTTTATGAACTTTAAATGGTTGATTTTCTAGTACTAATGTGCATTTCTGTGTTTGAAACCTAAAATATGTGTTTTGTGATTATTTGTTATTAATGAGAAGTGCAGTGTGCCTCTTACCGACCACCGGTGTGTAGTGAACTCATTAAGGGTTAATTAGCAGCCGCAGATTGAACTGCGAAGGCAGAGCTCATGTCTGGTGTTAAAAATGATATTGTTTGCAGAGTCTGATAACCTAGCCCTGGGGTTCCCAAACTGTTCAGTATGTGACCCCCAAAATGACAATGCCAATGACCTTTTAAGTTTGGTCTATAAATGTCTTAAATTTTATAATATTAAAGAGATCTTTGTCATGGGGTTTTTACGCCTCTATGAGTTTCTTTCTTCTGTTGAACACAAAAGAAGATATTTTGAAGAATGCTGCTTGTAAGGACCCATCGACTTCCATAGCAAGAAAATAATTATATGGAAGTCAATGGGTCTCAGAAACCAGCAATTTTTTAAAATAACTTCTTTTGTGTTTAAAAGAAGGAAGAAAATGAAATGGATTTTGAACAGTGAAGGTTGAGTATAATAATGGTAGAATTTAAATTTTTGGGTGAACTATCCCTTTAAGCCTTAAATGTCAAATAGTGAATTACAACAGTAAACAATACATTACCCAATAGGCAAAATCTTAATAAATAATTTTTCATTAAAAAAAAAATGTAAATAGCTCCTCATAAAAAGTGATTCGATTCCATACGCATTTAACCCGCTCTGAAAATCCACAAACAAAGTTGAGATGATTGTGATAGACCCTTTGCACATTTCCGGGTTTCTCAGTAGTGGAAGGCATCATGGTTGGGTAAACTTAGAGCGCAGTGAATAAGAGAATGCAACAAACTCAAAGTGTAACAGGACATGATTCCCATCCTCTGAAGCCTTTTTTTCATTCTGTTGCCCTCTCGAAGAAGGTTTAGAAGCATTAAATACTCTTTTAACAGAAATAAATTCACTTTTGTTCCTGAGGCAATAAGGCTTTACAAACTTACATTTTAGCAAGTTTAAAATTTTTAATATATGGGTCCCTCCTGTGTTTTTTAGTACCATTTATGAAGTTGCTATGAAGCATGCTGGATTGGGTTTTTCAATATTGTTTGTAAGTGATTTGTCTCTGTAAAGAAACAAATTACAAATACTAAAATTACCGTGAGTAGTTTTTCCTCAGGAATTTAAATTCACTAAGTAGTTTTAAAAATGTGTACTTTTATTTTCCCTTGAGTACATTTTTAGTGCTGTATATTTACATTTACTCCACTACTTTTCTTTAACCTGCAGTCACTATTTTATTTTTTCCTATCAATGGGGATTAGTAAAAAAAAATGAGTGATTTATAATTGCACAAACTATTTGGAAGCATTAAAGGTGTCCAAGAAGATGTTCAAAATCTTTACACGCATTGATCCAGAGACTGTTTAGAAGCATGTCACTGATGAGTAGATGAAGGATGTTCACTGTATGGTGACCAAAATGGCGTCATGACGTCAGATTGACGTTGTACCCCAACGTCGTGGAGATGTTGCATTTTGTTTGTTTGGAAATGAAAATTGGGTTGGCGTCAGAATCCAATATCAGGTCGACATCAATGTCTAACATAAAATCAACCAAATATCAACATCTAATGATGTTACAGCTTGACAATGTGTGGATGTTACCACTATGACGTTTATCAGATGTGATTTTAGTTGCCGTAAGTGATGAAAAAATATTAGTATTTGACGTCAATATGACGTTGGTTTAAGATGTTGGCTCAACATTGGATCGTCTGGACATCAAAATATTGTTGTTTTTAGACGCTGGCTAGACATTGAATTTCATCTGACATCCCAACCTAAATCTAACCTAATATTAACGTCTTATGACGTTGTGTGCCAGCTGGGCAATGACTAAATGCACTACAGAATGTTACACTTACACACACATGCACAAATTACATGTAAACACATCAGCTTTTTACAGTGTAATACTCGCTACTCTTGAGTTCTTTTGAAAGGGCTACTTTTTACTCATACTTTGAGTAATATTTACAACAGATACCTTTACTCTACCTGCACTACATTTTTTGGCAAGTAATGGTACTCGAGTATGATTTTTCAGTACTCTTTCCATCACTGATCATGAAATGCTACTGCTCTAATTTAATTGGCCCTTGTGAGACTAATAAAGCTGTTAAACAAGTATTTTTGTACAATCCTATTTGCTGAAATTAAAATAAATAAAAAAAAAACTCCACAATAATGTTATTAACTTCTCAGCCCTATAGACGTGGCATTAGAAACGCCTCACATAAGCGCTATTCGTCTTTTGTATTTTGACGGAAAGATGATATAATACATTCATAAATGCATTTAAGTGTTCATTCGTTTCTTTGAAAAACAATATATTACTTGGTTAAAAACTTTCAAGGATTTAAGATTATGATGATCGTTAAACACGTCAAACAGTTTTGTGAAAAGGGTCCATTGTATATACAGTACAGATATTCTTATATATAGCTAAAGGTACACTAGAACAGTTATAAATTATTGCACAGCCTGAAGGCCACAATACACACACACACACACACACACACACACACACACACACACACACACACACACACACACACACACACACACACATACACGCACACACACACGCACACACACACACACGCACACACACACACACACACGCACACGCACACACACACACACACACCAGAACCAAAAAAAAAAAAAAAAAACCCAGATTCATAACCAGGCAGATGTAAATACAGCTACACGCACACAACCTCACACATGTACACATACAAAAACAGATGCGCGTACACTGGAGGAGGCACAAACACCTTCATTTGGGGGTCTTTGATGTGGCGGCTGCATGAGGAGGATGATGATGATGAAAGCACTGTTATATTATGCAGCTTGCTGCCATTATCCAACACTACAAACAGAGCCAGACCACGGCCCATCTTCCTCCACAATACCAGCAGTAAATATACATGTAATTGCCAGCAGCAATTATCAGGCGAAATTAGATCAGTAATTACAGAGGTGAATTTAAACCCGAGTCTTATTAGAAGCATCAGGGTTGTTTCAATACATGAGCAGAGAGGGACAATTAAAGACGAGCCGTCGTGCAGATGGACAAGTGTGCGGTTTCTGAAAAGAGTTTCTCCTATAAAAGAGGTGCGCTAATAATCTGCAACACGGCAGCAACTATCAGAGCTGGAGCTGATCAGGGGAATTGGTGAGGGGAAAAAAAGGGGTGAAAGAGTAAACAAGAGGACAAAAAAAAGCTTTTGCGTGCTTCACCTCATTTAGCCGTTTATTCACCCTTCCCATGAGCCCTGCGAGGCCTTGCGGCTGATTATTTATACCGGGGTCACCATGGAAACCATCCATGCACACTCACAGACACAATGCCCTTCAAACAAACTGGACTGTCATTACTGGCATCCTCTCAAAGTCCAACTGGTCAAATTAGATGATCAACTACCTGTGACCTTAATCTCTTTCATGGACTTCTTTGCAATGCGTTTGGTGACTTTTCTTCATGATCAATTTTAAGATCAGGTTTAGGGAGTCTGAACACTTGCTGTTATATGATTTATG